ACTCTGTTCGGTTCCTTCTCCTCAGTGGTAACTGCATCCGAGATATCCAGATCAAACGGAACATGGCCCCCGCGATGGCCACCCACATAAACCCCCCCAACCCAGACGGAACACTCGTAGTCCACCGCCCCGAAGCGGAGGAGGAGCCGGTCGCCTCTTTCCAGCTGCGCGGGCGTGCGGATGTCGCGGATGAGCCGCTCGTACCACAGGATCTCGTGGGTGTCCTGTGCGTTGACGCCCGAGGCGGGTGTTTGGAAGGCGTAGGGCACCGTGATGGTCGTGGTTGGTGGGGACGGGGGCAGGCCGGTTTGGGCCCAGTGCTGCGTCTGGCCTTCGTCGCCATCGTCGAAGCGGAAGGTCCAGCACCCGTTGAGGGTGTGCCAGGTTGGGGTTGGGCGGGTGAAGTCGGGGCGAGGGTAGGGCATTTCTTTTCTGTCTAGGTTGGGATGTGGAGAGGTGTTGTTGTTGTTGTTGTTGTTGTTGTTGTTGTTGTTGGTGGTGGTGCTGTTGTGGTGGTTGTGATAGTGGTGAGTGGGCGAGTTTGTTTTGGTGTAGGTGAGTGGTGAATAGGAAGTGAAGGAAGTTGTGTTAGTTCTGCGGGGTGAGGAAAGCAAGCAAGCGGTCCGTTCACTGATCGTCAATCAACCCCGCGGCTATGACGTGGTCGGACAACCCTCAGCTGTTTCACTTGGACTGTCAATATATCCTAAGTGATAGTGAGGTAGCATCGTCTGCAACACTTGCAGTCATCACATGCAGCTAGAATAAGGTGACCTACAGCTTAGGGCACGCCGAGATTGGACCCGCGCTGCACAATGGCCTTATCTTCCGATGCAGAAGGCGGGGTAGAGTAATCCGACGACGATGATAGGGCTACACCGAAGCATTCACTCCGCGGGGAAACCATCTCGCGTCCATGGTAAGGGTCTGTTCGCCCGGTGATTCGACCGTCGTGACTGGGGTCCAGATTAAGTCTCGCAGATTTAGCCGGTCATTCGTCGGTCTGGACTCGTATTCCACCCATGGAGGGGCGCTATATACACCTGCTCTCCGCGCGACGATTCCCACCAACTTGTGGTCTACAGCCATGCATGCCGACATGGAGTTACTCACTGCGACGAATGTCTCCCGCGTGGGGATCGGGCTGTTGGCGTATATCGTCCTGCGGACCATCTACCGCCTGTACTGGCATCCTCTAAGTCAGGTGCCAGGCCCCAAGCTAGCAGCCATCAGCAGCTTATACGAGTTCTACTACAACTGCATCCAACACGGCCAATACCACTTCCAACTCATCAAAATGCACAAACAGTATGGTACGACACCTCCGCCCTCCCCGCCCCCCTCTGCAACACTGAATCTAACTCCCTAACCCAACCCCCCCCAGGCCCCATCGTCCGTGTGGGCCCCAATGAAGTGCACATCATCGACCCGACCTTCTACGAAGAGATCTACAGCGGCAGCACGCGACGCCGCAACAAGACGCCGCAATACGGCCCGCAGTTTGGGATGCCGGACTCGCTGTTCTCGACCATCGACCACGCGCACCACCACGCGCGCCGCGCGACCATCAGCCACTTCTTCTCGAAGCGGTCCATCCAGTCGCTGTCGCCGATCACCGAGCGCTGCGTGCTGAAGCTCATGCAGCGGCTGCAGGAGTTCTACGAGGCCGACAGAATCGTGCGGCTGGACGACGCCTTCGCCGCCATGACCTCCGACGTGATCACCTACTATTCCTACGGCGAGAGCCAGGGTTTCCTGGAGGACGCGACCTTCCGCAGCGAGATCCGCACCCTGGTCAACGAGCTGGCCGCGACCAGCCACCTCAACCGCTTCATCCCGGTCATGTCCATGCTGCTGCGCCGCATCCCGCCGCGCTGGCTTGCCGCCCTGCAGCCGAGTCGCGCCGCCACTTACGACTACCTGGCCAGTATCTACGCCCTGTCCGCGCAGTCCGCGACCCCGGAAGCGGCAGCAGAAACCGACCGCAAACCCACGAAGCACGCGACCATCTTCGCGCAGCTGTCGGACCCCAGCATCCCCGCCAGCGAGCGCACCCGCGCCCGCTTCCAGGACGAGGCGGTCCAGTTCCTCCTGGCGGGCACGGAGACGACCTCGAGTATCTTGACCTACGCCGCGTACATCCTCGGCAACAGGAAAGACTACGTGGAGAGATTACGGGCAGAGTTGCGGACGGTACTGCCCACGCCGACGAGTACGGCGAGTTGGACCGAGTTGGAGAAGCTGCCTTTTCTGGTCTGCCCCTTCCCTCCCTCCCCCCTCCCCCTGTCTTCAGCGGAAACACTGCACCTAGCATTGTCTACCAACCGTTCCCAAACGATACTGACGAAACTCGGTGAACAGACAGCCATCATCACCGAGTCCCTCCGGCTAGCGCCGCCCATCATCCGGCTACCCCGCGTCGCGCCGACGGAAACACTCGTGTATAACGGGTACAAGCTGCAGCCTGGTGTATGTCCCCAAGCCCCAACCCCCCCTCCGTTTGCCCTCGACTATCTCCCTGGAAGGACAAAGAGTATTGAAATTGACAACATGAAGACCGTCTTAGGCGCCTCGGCGTGGTTCATCCACCGGGACCCCACCCTCTTCCCGGACGGCGACACCTTCGATCCCGAGCGGTGGCTGCAGGGCGAGAAGAGCGAGCATCTCAAGCGGTATATGGTGGCGTTCTCAAAGGGGAGTCGCGGGTGTGTCGGGATCAAGTCAGTTCCTTTTCCCCCTCCCTCCCAAATCTCGCTCTGCTGTTGGTGGGAGGCGTGCTTTGTGCGGAAGGGATCGGCTAACGTTGGCCGCTGGGCTAGTCTCGCGTACAACGAGCTGTACCTGGCGCTGGCGTACTTTGTGCGCCGGTTCGAGTTCGAGCTTTTCGATACCACGCCCGAGGATATGGAGATGGTGGCCGAGACGGTGCTGCAGGTGACGCGCCGGGGGTTTCCGACCGTCTATGCGAGGATCACCGGGGTGGTGGGGGATTAAGCGGCGTTGTTGGGGTGGGGTGGACAGTGAAGTATGGGGAGATTCGTGATACTGGGAAGCTGAAAGAAAGGGGGGTCCGGGGGTTCTCCCCCGGGACGGTACATTCCCCCAGCATTCAAGACTGAGGTTATTGGGAAATTGAAAGAAAGGGGGGTCCGGGGGTTCTCCCCCGGGAATTGTTCTTTATAGATATTCCTAGGTTGTCTAGTCCTAAGTACTAGAGTTTACCGTTCCGGGGGAGAACCCCCGGACCCCCCTTTCTTTCAATTTCCCAGTAACACTCAATAAAAAGCCCTGCTTCAATGAAAATAACCGTCAACGCTATAACCAAAACTACTTTAACCACGACACAACCACCTTCAACCCAGCTAAGCACGCTAAGCACGCGCCCAATCCACGACCGCATCCTCGCCCGCCTTCTCCCGGATCAACCGATGGCTGAGATCCCACAGCGCGGCCCCCAGCACCGGATCCGACGCCTGGCTGCTCTCTTTGCCCGGCTGCGCGACATCGCTGAAATAATACCCGTTCCACCCCTTCTCCTCGACCTCGGGGCTCGTCGCCGCCCACAGCGCGCTGAACGAGCCCTGCTCGACGTTGCGCCCCACCGCCAGCATCACCTTGGTCAGGAGGTTCCCGAAGATCCCGGGGTACGCGTCCTTCCACTGCTGCTGCATGGCCGTGTTCACCTGTCCTTTGTCAGCACATGATCCTCCCCAGCAAGGGAACGGAAGAACGTACAGCACCAGGATGCACCGACAGCGCATAGATGTTGTCGCCATTGGGCTTGATGACCCGATCCAGCAGCCCGTACTTCACCCCGAGGATGATCGCCAGCTTGGTGCGGCCGTACAGCTGGGTGTTGCCGACCTCCGGGTTGTTCAGCTCCTCGAGCGAGGCGAAGTGCACGTTGGGCGGGGCGTTGCGGTGCTGCTCGGAGGACTCGAAGACGATGCGCGGGGCCGGCGTGTCCGGCAGCTTCGAGGTCTTGCGGAGGAGCGGATAGAGCTGGTTGACGACGTAGAATTGGCCCAGCCAGTTGACCTGGAAGTGGCGGTCGATGCCGTCGGCGGTCTCGCCGTATTGGTTGGCGTTAATGCCGGCGGAGAGGATGAGCTGGTGCAAGGGGGTTAGTGGATGCTTTTGGTTTCGGGAAAGGACAAGCGGGGGCGCACTCACCAGGTCTAGGCGCTCTTCTCGCTGGCGGATCCCCTCGAACACCTCCCGCACTTCCTTGAGGTTGCCCATGTCGCAGGGCACCCATTCGATCTGGGCCCCCTCGCCGGCCTCCTTCTTGATGGATTCAATGGCTGACTGCCCTTGTTCCTCTTTGCGGTTGACCATGATGACGCGGGCGCCGTTGAGGACGAAGGCGCGGGCGACCTCGTAGCTGTCTTGCTTAGTTCGAGCAGTTCATCAACAACAACAACAATTGGGGGGCAGCTTACCCGATGCCCAAGGCGCCGCCGGTGATGAGCGCCACGCGACCGGTGAGGTCGTGGATCTCCTTCTTGGGGCCGATGATGGGTTGGAGAACTGACTGCATTATGATTATCTCTGTGTGTGTGTCTGTGCTGAAAAATGGAAAACAGAAGATTGGGGAATGCTGGATAAAGCATTGGGGTTAAATAGTCTGGTGTCAACACGGCGTAAGTATGATATCAGCCCTGCCGGCATCCACTTTTCCTCTTCGGGCCAACGCCCATCTACGAAACAGGGCACCCTGAACACTACCTTATTAGACAATCACTGCGTGTATTCCGCCTGTTGCACCATCACCATGTATGTGTAATGAGTCTGTCACTGTCACACTTCCATGGATGGCATTCACGTGTCAGTAGTTGGTCAAGACTGATCTCAGCAAGGGCCGATAAGATAAGAGCTACCCCACCTACGTCATCACCCAGCACCCACGGCCAAAGTTCGTCTTTATCTTTCTCATTTCCAACAATCTTCCGTGGGCATCTCTTCTCACCTCCCTCCTAACGCCCCTCAACAACATCACGATGTTCAGCAGCAACAAAGCCCCAAACCACCGCCTCCGCATCACCGCGGGACCGTGCTACGACCCCCAAACCCACCAATTAGTCCACGTCAACGGACCCTCCCCGATCCGCATCCGCAGCCCGCACCTCACCGCCGACATCTGGGTGCGCATCAAGGAGTACACCGGTACCCTGCCCTGCCCTGCCCCCTGTCCCTGTCCCTTTCCCAAACCCAAACCTAATACCCCCAACCAACCTCCTAACCCCGAGAATATACGCAGGCTACCCCGAGGGATCCCCCAGATCCAATCCCTACTTCACGCACCCCACCACCGCCGCCAACCGGTACAGCATCACCCTCTCCCTCGCCTTCGCGGACGATGTCAACGGCGACGACCTCCTCTTCGGCAACGACTTCGACCACCCGATCCGCGACTACCTGCCGCCGGGCTTCAACACCGCCTTCAAGGTCGTGAAAACGATGCTCGACCCCTCCATCGACGGCGACGCGTACAGCGACACACCGTACCTGTATAGCCCGGCGTTGGCGTCGTGGAATCAGTTCCGGGTCGGGGAGGTCGTTCCCCGGGATACGAAGAAGCCAGCCGTGGAAGCGGATCCGGTTGTTCTGGAGGGGGCGGAGGGGTCCGGGAAGGCAGTGCGGGAGAGTTGTGGATTGCCCGCGGATGCAGCGGCGCGGACGAAGTATTTCCGCGACGAGGAGAAGCGGAAGGGGTTTGTGTTGGAGAAGGGGCGCGTGTATGAGGCGGACTTTGGGAATCCGTATCTGGATTTCGAGGGTAGGCTTCTTTCCCTCCCCCCTCTGCTTGGTTTCTTGGGGTTACGGCAGGGTTTGCTGACTGTGGCAGAATTCGCGGTCCATGTCCCCGGGATCACGCTGAATATCAGCAAGTATGTGAGCGAGAAGAACAACGTGTTGCGGTACGTGTTGAAGAACCGGACGACCGGGGAGGAGTATTTGGTCATCGGGTTTACGGTTGTGCTGGACGGGGCGGAAGAGAAGACCGACGATGGGGATGAGGTGGACTAGACACCTGTGTACAGCCATACACTGCCCCTCCATTCTGATTTCTATGATATACCGTTCCGGGGGAGAACCCCCGGACCCCCCTTTTTTCAACTTCCTGGTATAGGATATTCCTGGTATTTGTGAGATCCTTTATAGTATATAGTAAATACAAGTCTCATACTTTAGACTGTTTAACACTTACTACAGATAAGCTTTACTGGGAAGCTGAAAGAAAGGGGGGTCCGGGGGTTCTCCCCCGGGACGACATATTCCCCCAGCACTTAGAATCAGGCTTGCTGGGAAGCTGAAAAGAAGGGGGGTCCGGGGGTTCTCCCCCGGGACGGTATATTCCAGTACACATGATTGAGGTACGAAGTCTACGCTACCCCTTCCCCCGAACACTGGACATACTCAGCCTCGCCTCCCCCCTCCCCAACCGCCGCGACGCCACCACCACCGCCGCACTGAGCACCGCCCCGGCGTAGAAGAAATACTCGACGTACATCCTGGCCTGCTGCCCCCTGACCATCGTTGAGTCGTACCCGAACGTACTCCGAAACGCAGGGCCCTCCACATACCCCACCAGATCCGTCAGGGCCAGCCCGACCGACGAGACGATCAGCAGGGGAATGAAGAAGCCGAGTTCCTGTACCCGGCCGTTAGCACAGATCTACCACTAAATAATCCCACCATCAGGCAATTATATAGTAAGGAAACATCCCACTCCCATGAGACTATAATCAAAAGAAAAGGAAGGAAGAGACAACATACCCCACCGCGTAAATGCCGCGCCGACCAAACGGCCCAGCCCATGCGCGCCGCCGCAACGCTCATCCCCAGCACCTCCACCACGTCCACCGCCACCCACAGTCTCTTTTCCGTGCGTTCCCAGCGCTGCAACTCCGGGAAAGTAAATCGCGTGGGGTGAACGACTCGCTCGACGAGACGCGTCTGCACGCCCAGCGCAGCGAGCACCAGTGCCGCCAGCACTGCGACCAAAATGGAATGCGGGACGAGGATCCACCGATCGATGGTCCGGTGGCTTGCGCCGTGGTGCAGGCGGCGACACAGCGGGAGGAGGATCAGACTGAAGAGGGCGAGTTTGCCGAGGCTGATGAGCCAGGTTATCGGGAGGAGGGCCTGCGTGGCCTCTTGGGAGCTGAGGACGGCGCATTCGCTTAGGGTCGTCGTTATGACTGCGATGGTTTGGGCGCTGCGATTCGTTGATTAGACTGGTATCTTTTCGGCCAGAAGGGGGTGGGGTGAGTGCGTACAACAGCATGAATGTCACGGCGATGGTGAGGAGCAGCCACTGTGCTGTCGATTTACGCTTGTCCTCGCTGGCGAGGAATCGCGCGGCGGTGAAGAAGAGGAGCCCTAGGAAAATGACGAAGTAGACCGCGTAGCAGACGATGGTGATGCGCGCGGTGCTGCTGGAGAAGGCGTGGTGGGCGCGACATTGTCCGCTCTTTGCGCGGGGGAATACTCCCCCCTGGCTGGCGAGCTGGGCCATAGTGGTGGTGGTTTTCACCAACATCCAGAAAAAATGGTCAAAGGGGCATAAAAGTATACGCCGCCGGGGACAGCTCGCTACTTAAATTAGCCCAGCCCAGCACGCATCTGGCTGGGGCACGGGGCAAGCGCAGGGACGTCGATCGCGGGAAACCCGCCCTTCTAATTGGGTGCACATGCCAAGTCAATACGAGCAGGCGCAGCTTAACCTCGCAATACGAACCCTAGTTTCAGATCGATGCCCAGGGCCACCAGCTGATCGGGGCAACTGACAGCTGACGGATGATCGACCATTGCCCTTTTTTGTTACTGGGGCATACATAGTACTCAGTCGTAAAGTGGTGTTGAGTACTCTCTGGAAGTGGAAGACTACTACTTCTCATACTCCGCCAGCGCCCAATCCAGCAACGCAGGATACCACCGCCGCCCCACATCCTGATGGCTCATCACCCGATGGATCAGCGTGCCCTCGCCCACCCTCCCTTGAGAAATCCGATTGAAGGTCGCCTCCGCGTCCGACCGCACCGTCTCGTCGCGCACCAGCTCCCGAATATGCGCCGGGATCGCCAGGGCCAGGGCCCCGCTCTCCGCCGACAGATCCAGGCTCATCCCCTGGAACACGGGGATGGAGAACCGCGGCCCGAGAGGCGTCCCCTGTGCATCGACAAAGTTCTCCATGGCCAGATTCACCCGGTGCGTCGTCGCCGTGCACACGCCCCCCGTGATCGCCTCGAGGGCGCGGCCGATGTTCACCACCAGGGACCCCGGCAGCGGCGGCGCCGCGATCCACTCCCCGGCCTTGTTCTGCACCTCCAGTCCCGTGTGCGGCGTGGCTTGCAGCAGGAAAGTGAGGAACTCCGAGTCCTTGTGCGCGCCCACGCCCTGCGACTCGGACGCATCGCGGGGTGGCGGGTACTTGATCAGCTTGAGTTTCTGCTGGATGGGGTCCTCGAAGAAGCGGTCGAGTGCCGTGGGCGCCATGTCGAGCGCTTCGGAGATGAGGCTCCGGAAGGCGGCTGCTAGTGGATGGGTTTCGGCCAGGTAGGCCTCGACGGCGTGGCGGAAGCCCGGGATGGCGGATTCGTCGGGCCACTGTGTGCAGTGAGTTGGGTTGTTACCCTGGGTTGAAGGTGGAAATGTACCTGGTTTGGGCCACGGATGTTGCGGTAGAGAGGTGCGTCTGGGCTTGGGGGAGGGAGCTCGGTCGCAAACTGGCGGAACTGGTCAGTAGTGTACTGAATGTACTGCAAGTTCATCGTGTATGTGTATCGGTGAAGGCACGCACGTCGAATTGTTCGCGGTAATCAGTCTGGCGGGCGGTGGTTTCAGCCCCTAGTCGCGAGTATCCCAGGAAATGCTTGCTGTTGACCATCTCAATCTCCAGCTTCTTCTCGAGTGGGAGATCGAAAATGGCAGTGGTCTGTTTGATCAGCTCGTCGCGGACGCCGGGCCCGACCGGGGCGTTGATGAGGTAGAAGAAGCCCACGTGGACCAGTGCATGGCGCAGACTGGCGAGGAACTGGGGTTTTGTGGCGGACGAAGTGGCGAGAGCATAGTCAAGGACCGGAATAGCGGTAAATGAGGGCGTATCTACAGTCATGGTGGCAGAAGAATGAAGATGAGGTGGTTGGAGATGGTAAGATGAGTGAGGGGTTCATTCCCCGGTCGGCAGCTGCGATATCGGGCGGGGAATGAAACCTCATTTGGCGTCATCCCGACACTTATGGCGAGCATAGACTCTACAAATATGTCTATCGCTTGCTGTATATTCTCTACAAACCATGCTTCTGATATCACTCTATCTTCTGCCTGATCCCAGGGCGTCAGCTATCGAAATTATCGTACTCTACTCTCTCTTACACGATGGATAAAACGGCGCACTTTTGTTACTTCACCGAAATGAAATAGAAAAGCGTTTGGAGTGTGGCAGATTCTGTCCTGACCTTCTATAATACAGCGTCGAGTGTCAATGGAAGCCGAATGCAATATTCCGTTAGCGTTCTCCCGTCATAGCTCCTATCTTCTCCTTCTGGCCGAATGAAGTCGTGAACTGACGTCTGCCATGCTGACACTACAGTCTCGTGAACGCAAACTACGGTTCGCAAGATACTACGGTAGAAATGAAAAGCGAAATAGTGGCCAATCCTCCGGGCAATAGAGAGCCATCAGGATTGTTACATATGCTAAGTTTGGCTCATCCCGATCGATGGCGACAGATATGGTCCTAAACAGATCTTCCAACTCGTTGGGGAGCGAGCCAAGGCGCTTTCTCAGATCTTCTAGGGCGTCACCACTCAGAATGCTGTGCTCAACTCTCTGGACGGTGAGTTTGACCCAGAGGAAAACACCCTCAGATTTGTATGCAATCTCCGTCTCAAGGAGCTTCCTTTGATCTGATGTCCCCATCTTGGGATAGAGCTCGCTCGAGCTCAAACGGTGCTGGACAAAGCTTAGAATATCCTCGTGAATTACTTCGTGCAGCCGCAGCATCGGGCCGGCTTTGAAGGCCTCCTGCAAGTCAATGTCCTCTCGACTGCCGACACAAATCTTGACATCGGCTGACCTGCAAGAGATCCAATCTTTCAGGGACTCAACCATATGGGCACGGTCCCCTTCAAACTCGTCTATGCCGTCAATAAAAATTGGCTATCCTATGGGTAAGATAAACACTGTCCGTTTCTCTCAACTTGCGAAATGCGTCAAACACCTCATGATCATCATCGGTTACTGGTCGTAACCCGCTCAAAGCAGCCTGCCATTGTCTGGGAAACAGCAGAGGTATGGGCTCAAGCCATCGAGACAGAATAGAATGCAGAAGCCCTCGCACCAGCCCGCGAAAGCTCTTCTGAAGCGTCCGGCCGTGCTTCCAAAAGAAAAGTCTGGCTAGCACCAGGGCCTTGGTTGTTGACCACAGCTTGAGATGCTTTTCCATTGCCTTATGTCGGCAGATGCACTTCATCAGAGTGGACTTGCCTGACCCTGGCTTTCCGGAAATATGAGGAAGCTTGATGGACCAAGCACACCAAAGGGATCATCAAATGTTCAGAATTGCCCTCGAGACTGTGAACGCCAGCTGTGAGGCTATACGATGGGATAATGACATGGTCCTTAACTAGAGGTATTGTTCGCCCTGTTAGACGGTCTTACTTGCTGGGTGGTGCGACTATCAATGAAAGAAACACTAGGGACTTTGTAGAGGGACTGCTTTCAGATATTTCAGATAGAGGCATTCACTTCACAACACCCAAGGCAGAAAGTGCGACCCAAGGCACCCAATCTGGTTTTCCGTCCGCCGATTCTTGTCTATTTCATCCATCTTCCCCTTCTCCTCTCTTCTTCTGCCCTGTCAACTTCTCCGTCTTTCTTCCCATCAAGCTTGGTGCACCATCGTACAAGCAATCCTTCCGCGCCGGCACCCCGCTGTACACCGCGATCCTGTAGTTCTCTTTGGGCTCCAGCTCCGTCCAGCTCTGTCCAGCTTATTTCCGCCTCTTCCAGCTCCCTTCCCAATATCTGACTACTTCATTCGCCATGGGTACTATGCTCCCATCCTCTGAGACCGTCCTCTCTGAGATGGCTCCCGGCGGTAGTATATCTAAGCTCGTGCTATACAATCAGAATACTGTCTGCTTTGAATCCAAGCGGTTTTTATAGATGATATAAATATCCGCGACCAGCAACCCCAGCGGCCAGTTCTAATATCTAGTTTATATAACAGTACTCGGTTACAGCGTTCGAGCAGCTATGCTGGCCAACGGTAATTGGCGGGTGATCTATGTATTCCCGGTCTACAAGTTCTGGCTTGCGCGGAATAGTAATATCTTAAATTTGATAGGTCTTCCGCTCTTATACTACTAGATCCAGGTCTATCTTTGCTAACAGTCTATCGGCTCTATTTCGATCCGATTTCATATTTTGCGCGTGGTCGATAAACTGCTGATTGCCAGCCGCGGTGGTTTTCAAGCCAATTCTTGTATCTATAATAGAAGTAATGTATTCCGCGATGCGATTTACCTGCCCGATTACTAGAGTGTATACTGCGCAAGCTGTCGTCTTATTCAAGCCGACAAGTTCTATACTATTCGAGATGCCTACCGGGAGAAATCCTAATTCTCAGCAGTCGGCCAGAATCTCTGTCTATTCTTCAGAAGCTTAAAAATCAAACTATTTTACCCGCCAAATGATGGCAGACGATATCCGGGTCAGAATGTTTAGTTATAAACCGACAATGCTGGGTTTGTTTCTACGGTTCTTCTACCACCACCCCTCTACTTCTGCCCTTTCTGATAATGTCTTCGTTTTTGTTCTCACTTCCCTTTTCCTTCCGACTGCGTCGCCGGCGTGGTGTGCATCGAACCGCAGTCCCCTGTATCCGACAACTTCCGAGTAACAAACAAGATTCTACCGCAGATCATAGGAATGGTATCAAGAATAAACCAGGAATGCCACATCAAAGTGCGTACGATTGTAAACAAGAAGTTCAAATTCTACTTCTTAGAGAAGTAATATCAACACCATGCATGGCTCGGAGTACCAAATCTCGACCCAGAAGCCCAGAACAGAAGCTATCCAGAACACCGATCTATCCTCCTTTCGACTCCGCAGAGAAGTATTCCGTGGACGCGCAACTACGCCAAGTCTCCGACGCAGCAGCGGATCCCACCGCGTCATCGTCGTTATCATTCAAATCGTGTTCGCGCGCCGCCTGGCATGCACTTCCCCGAGCGTTAGCAGATCCACTATCCTCCGGATCGTTGGAGGAATACTCACCGGTATCCTCCGCAATGGTTCCAAGCGGCCGCGGCGTCCCTTCAGGCGAAGCGGTAGAAGCAGTAGCAGTATCACCACCACCTCCCTCTGACTCCACCGCACTCCCTCCCTCTCCCTCCCCCTCCCCCTCCCCCTTCGTATCCTGCAGACCAGCAGCAGATGGAGGCAGCCAGACGACGGCATTCACATTGTCGGCGACATCGAAGAAGAACCGGGTGGTGATGAACTCATCGGCCCACCAGTCGAACTGGGTGCGGCCTTGACGCTGCCACCGGGTCGCGACGCGTTGCCCGCCTTCACCCGCCGAGCCTCGCGCCTCGAACGTCCAGAACATGACCTGGTTGCCGCCGAGACAGCCGCCGCCCGCCAGCATCATCGCCGTCGGGATGCGGTAGTTGGGGTCCGCCAGCGCGCTGCGCCAGAAGAGCAGCAGCTTGGTGATGTACCAGCTGGGGTCGCTGCTGGGGCCATTGATGAACCAGAAGCACGGCCGGCCCTGGATGAAGGCCACGACGGTCTGGATGTCAACTGTGTTGGTTGAGTCGGTGCCCCACGGGACCTGTTGGACGATGTCGAGCAGGCCGTAGTCGCCTAGCGGGTGGAGACGGCTGGTAATGCGATCGCGCCAGCAGGGGATCTCGGGGACGCGGTGTGACATTCTGGTCGCTTGTGGGTGGGTTGGTAGTGTATCCTGGGCTGTGTATCTTGGTTGTGGGATGTCGGTTTAAGGTGTGATGTTGATGGGAGTGTGGGGGAAGGGGTTCGTGGTAAAGAGGGTTTTATATCGCGCATGTTCGTTGGTTGGTGGAGAGAAACGCTCCTGTTCATGGGTCTTTCAGTGTTCTCATGTGTTAACTGTCGCGGGGGATATAGGAAAGGTCTTTGTTGTTGTGGTTTTTGGTGATGCCGGCGACCGAAGTGTTCCATTATTCTTTGTCGCTGGGCCCATGGCTGATCGGTCGCTTGTTCTGATTTCTGTTCACAAGGGAAGTGAAAAGAGGATCGATCGGTGTTGGTGAATATCCCTAACACGGAGATGCACCCAAGAAGCTTTGTTAGAAACCATTCCAATTGTATCGTGCTTTCTTTAGTCTACAATGGCCGGGGCTGGTCAACTAAACCAGCCATCATAAATGAAGGTCGGTATATCCGGTGCCTCTTGTTGGTTAAATGAGAGGAGACACACCCCTTAAGATGAAACATGGAACCAAGCTAGGCAGGACTGTCTTGAGAAACACAAATCTGTGATGTGCTGAGGCCCATGACGTCAGTAGAAGTGCCCAATGTCAAAAGAAATAACACTGAAATCTTCATTCGATATATACCAACTCCAACCACTAAATCCTAAAGCAGTAGAACCATCAATCGTGTCTTCATCGCATCCATTACTATCAACAGATATCCAGAACTATCAACATTTGTACATGAAGTCTCCATCCCCAAATCCCCCAATCTAATAAGCCAAGAACATAGTCACCGCAAAGGCCAAGCCGGCCGCTGAGCGGTGCAGCATACTCTTACCCGAGCCGCTGGTCGTCAGGTACAGGGTGGGCTCGTACTCCGACGGTACGGTGCTATTGGTTGTGCCGTTCCAGCAGTAGTCGTTGAAGCAGGTGGTGCAGATGTCCGGCAGGGTGGTGTTGGTACGATAGGTCGAACGCTGCAAGATGGCGCAGGCAACACAGGAAGTCCAGTTCGAGTCGAGGGTGCCGTTGCCGCGGGTGACCACGTTGTAGCCGTTGGTGATGACGTTGTCGCGCTCCTCGTCCGAGTAGGTCAGCTTGAAGGTGGAGAAGTTCGACTCGTAGGTGTAAGGCGAGTTGGCCAAGTACACGACGAGCGGAGCAGGACCAGACAGGTTCTTCGGGTCACAGCCGAAGAAGGTCGGGCGCTTGTTCAGGCCCAGGTTGACGAAGGTGTTTACGTCCGGGACAGGAGGGAAGACGGTGCCGTTGGCGATACCGGAGCTGTTCAAGCTGCGCTGGTAGGTAGCCACCAGCGAGGTTCCGTTGGGCCAGTATGAGTCGGTATCGGCGGAAGAATCAATAGCAAAAATCACATCCACGTGCCGGTCGGGCTGGATGAGGGGGTGCAGCGGGATGTTCTCGAGATCCTCACCACCATCGACAACGTCCAGGGTGGCAGCGGTGGCATAATCTTCGCTGGCCTCCCGGTACCCGTAGAAGGGGTTGGGGGAGTACACGGCAATGTCGTCACCCCGTTCACCCAGGTCTTCCAGGATGTCAGTCAAGGCATCCTTGAAGATCGTGGGGATATCGGTACTGTTGATCTGCAGCAAGAACTGGTTGAAGAGAGTGGAGGAGGATCCCATGATGAAACCGGCATTGTCAAAGCCACGCACGCAGGTACCGTTCTCCGACACGCTACCGTTCTCGAATCTCGAGCCGAGGTACTCCAACGGAGCGAAGGCATAGACAGATGGATCCCAAGAGCCGAACTCCCACGGGTTGACCTCGTAGACCGTCGCATTGGTCTCAACAATGACCTCGCCGGGGTTACGGCCATCCATGACCACAATAGGCATGGGGTATTGGCCGTTCTTGAAGTCGTCCATCAGGGAAATGGAGGACCAGGTGTAGTCAGCACCGCCGTCATCCTTGGAGGAATTGACCAGCTGGAAGGAAAGGGCACGGCCCCAGTAATCCGAGAAGGAGGTGTTGAAACCGGCCCCCGATTTCCCGTCCACCTGATCGGTGATGGTCTTCCAGTACTCGTAGGTGCTGAGGACTTGGATGGTGTCATAGTTAGGACCCTCGAGCAAAGACTTGGAGAATCCCCAGACCCGGTCGCTAGCCTGCAGATTGCTGATGGTGGAGAAGTTGTTGACAAACATGGAACCAACCAGCCAGCTACCACCACTCAGACCAGCGACATAGGTAGCAGACTGCAGCAGACCACCCAGCTGACCGGTGTTGGTGGAGTTCTCCGTGCGGCTGTCGAAGGCCTTCAGGCCACCCGCGCCGTTAGTCAGCGCCCGGTAGCCACCCCCGGAGGCCGCGACCGCAATGTTGGGGATGTTGGAGATGTTGCTCGCGTGGGTGTTGAGATAAGAGGTGACGTCAAAGCCACTGAGGTTCAAGCGACCCAGAAAGTCCTTCATGGGCTGTAGGGTGACATTGCGGCGCACCTTGAGCCATTCGGTCTCGTTGGTGGAGAGGTTGTCGGCATCACGGATGCTGGGTCGGGTGGACGGGCAGGTCACGTTGTCGGGGGTATAGCCCTCGGGAGCATTGGGAAGCGCCCGAACAGCCACCTCGACCGCCGCAGGAGGCAGCGAGGCGGCATGGGCGACGCCAGCCGCTGCCGCGACCGCAAGAGACAGCTTCATGATCGACAGGGGAGCGTGGACAGGGAGGAACCTGACCAGTGAAGGGGGGGAGGAGAGAGGCAGATCAAAGTCGCGAGGAAAGAGAGGAAAGGAACGGTGCAAAAAGCGAACTCCCCAATTCCCTTATATTCTTCGAGAACACCAGGCGATCTGCGGACCCCCCGGAAAGCCTTGGGCGATGCAGCTCCACTGGGGCCGAAAGAAATTGAGCTGAAAGATGGGTCTGCATGACTGCTCACTAATCGGCTGGAAGCCGACTGCCGGCTGGCAATAATGCCCAAGGGGTCAGAAACTTAAGACCAGGGCAATTGTGATTGGGACCGGAGTGGCAGTGAGTCCGCCAGCTCCATCTGGTCCGCAGGCAGCAGCATTGCTCCGAAGTTATCCCTGGATGGATTGTTTATGATTTCGATCATGATGTCACGGACCAGCACCTGAGCAGACCATCTGGTGTGGGCGGATATGGACGGATATAAGCGAATGAATGGCAGTGGTAAACGAGTACGAAGGAGGATGGAGAAACAGGCGAACAGCACTAGAGTGACTAGCGAGCCTCAACCCCTGAAAAGCAGTGCACAAGTGCACAACAGTGGAGATGGGGGGAGATTGGGTGTTCGTGCGTTGGAATCAACCAAGTGGGAATGAAGAGAAATGCCTGCCAAGTGTTCCATGCCAGATCGGGCAACCCGAGCGACTAGCGCTGACTCAGCGGGGTATTTTTGGCCGTGGCTGGTGTGCCGGGGGCTGGGGCTGGTGCATAAGCATGGCGGTGCATAGCTGACATAAGCGCACATGACATCAGCCCGATGTCAGCCAAGGTGCATAACTTTATGTGGTACATAGCATAGCATAAATGGCGTCACCACCGTCACCACCATCTCCATGACATCACCACCATTGCAACCTCTTGCCGATCACAACGATACACTGCACATATAAAGCAGTCGAATCTGATCTTCAGAGCTCTCATTTCCATCAAACCATCACTGAACTTTCAACTACTCAACTTCCACAAACAACCTCTCAATCACCATGGACAAACTCTCCGGACTCGCATCCAAGCTCGGCGGCAGCCACGGCAGCAGCGGCAGCAACAACAACAACCAGGAAGACTACGTCGACAAGGGTACGTATTGACCACCGTCCCCGTGGGTCATTGACTTTGCCAATTCCTGCTTCTTGCATTCCACTTGTTTTGCATCTGCAATGCACCTGCCCCCTCCCGAACCCTCTTACTGACATCCTGACGAAAAGGTGTCGACAACATCGAGAGCAGATTCGGCGCCGACCCCCAGAAGCTGCGCTCCACCAACGAGAAGGCCACCGACTTTGCTCGCAACAAGTTTGAGAGCTCCACCGGGTAAGTCTTTTCCCTCGATGGCCTTGTCAACAAATGAAGCTAATCGGGCCTAGCCGCAACGTTCCCGACAAGATCTCCAATTAGATGCTCGTGCGATGATGTCGATGATTTGCGATGATGATAACCTTATGACGATGCGGATTGCGCTTGTATGATATGATACAGTAGGACCCGACCTACGATAATCTCTCGAATGGACTACCATAATATCCTGTGAAATGATTCCTCATTCCTTCTGTAGTCTATTGCCGTACTATCTCCACCGTCGAGTCGACACCCTGTTCAGGGTCAGTGATTGCATTTGACTAAAGTTATATCCGTTATAAAATTAGAGGGACTAGATCTGCTCAGGTTGTATGTCTAGGTCCCCTGGGTAATTGAAAGTGAGTAGATACGTCCAGTGGAGGAGATATCGGTGTCGGACCAAAAATCGTACGTCACCTGCAGCTAATCACCCATCGTCACCCCGATGATTTTCCCCACCTGAACAGCACGAATGCCATGGCATGGCACAGTATAATCCCTGGTCCCAGCAAGATCGGTAATGATCGATCGCGCAAAGCTTGATCCGGTCAATTGATCAAATGTCCGACCCAGAACTCCCGAGTGGCTCGGCCTAACTCGGGAATATATCTCCCACGTGCACGATGTTCCGGTCACAGAAAAAACCAACTTATAGATGAGTAAAGATTTCAAGATATGCCAAAAGACAGGGAAATGGTACGAGATCCTATTGGGTGCAATAAAGCCTGTCGAACTTAATGCTGTCCGCTGTTTCTGGGAGTGTGGCACCGTATGCGGTGAGAGTGCAGCAGCAACCTCTGACTGGACCTGCTGGGCATAGATGCAGACTTTCACTTGTTGCCGCCAACAAAAGCATTTAGCGGACGAACACCCAATGCGAACCCCTTGTGAGAAAATTGATGATCCAGACCAGCTACATCTCATGCCATTTCTACAAGGATTCTCGTGAAAACGATAAGAAAAAATATGCATTCATAACCAGCGTGGTATACTCAGCTATCGCAGCAACGCAAACAAACCCAGTGCAGCAGCCACCTCTTCCAGAGAGTCTCGTCTACATCCGCTGAAACTGCCTCAGTAGTCCCTGCAGCCCGACCTCCTTCTTCGGCGCCAAATACCGCGTGTTCATGCGACACAGCTGCAACCAATTCGCGCTCTGCTCGGGCATCGCCTTGCCCGCCGCCCGATAACTCCGCTCCAGCCGCTCGTAGTACTCCTGGCTCTGCACGT